TGCTGCAGGGTCATGATATTCTCATGGCTACCATGCTTAATGGAGCAGCCATTATGGATGGAGCATTACTTCTAATTGCTGCCAATGAGAGCTGTCCCCAACCTCAGACTTCTGAACATTTAGCCGCAGTCGAAATTATGAGACTCCAACATATAATAATTCTTCAAAATAAGGTTGATCTTGTTCAGGAAAATGTTGCCATCAATCAGCATGAAGCTATTCAGAAATTTATTCAGGTTAGTGGTATACAGTATCGGTTAGCCTTGCACTCTTTTTGTGCTTGATCCACGAAGCTATATAATGATACTGTACTTCAACACCATGTTCAGGGAACTGTAGCAGATGGTGCCCCAGTTGTACCAATCTCTGCTCAATTGAAGTATAACATTGATGTTGTTTGTGAATATATTGTGAAACGAATCCCAATTCCTGTGAGGGATTTCACTTCACCACCAAATATGATCGTTATTCGGTCATTTGACGTTAATAAACCTGGTTTTGAAGTTGATGATATCAGAGGTGGCGTTGCTGGTGGCAGTATTTTAAAGGTATGTTGCTTATTTCCTTTAAACTAGCGAATACTCTATGCTCACAACATCTCCGCGGTCATAGAGCTTTGTGATTGACCTGACAGATTCTTGTTTTTATCATTTACCGTAGTGGGGTGCTTATTCTTACCTGGACATTTAAGAAAATCTCATAGCAGCAGTTACATACTTGGTGTCAGCAGTTCAATTCTTTGTGCAGGGTGTGTTGAAGGTAAATCAGCTGATCGAGGTTCGTCCAGGTATTGTTGTCAAGGATGAAAGTGGCAACATTAAATGTACCCCCATATATTCAAGAATTGTGTCACTGTTTGCCGAGCAAAATGAACTACAATTTGCCGTGCCTGGAGGCCTTATTGGAGTTGGAACAACCATGGATCCAACACTGACACGTGCTGATCGATTGGTGGGACAAGTTCTCGGGGAGGTTGGATCACTTCCTGAAGTTTTCGTCGAACTAGAGGTAAATGACTTCTTCAGAACAATCCAGAATAGGACAGTTAAAATGTGACTGGTAGATATCTCCTATTAACTGTTTTTTAGGTAATGAAAATGTTACACAAGTTTTGTACTCTGTTATCTGTTGTAAAGAATTGCCATTTCCTTTTCTTAATTTATTGTTTTTGAGTTAATTTATAGTTAAGTAGACCCTACCCAGCCCCACTTTGTGGGACTACACTGGGTATATTGTTGTTGTTATAGCTAAGTAGGCTCACTTGTTAGATCCATTTAATTTTCTAAGGCCATATGCTCACATATCCTTCATTGAATCTACCGTTGCTCCTTTGTAATGCAGGTGAATTTCTTTTTGCTCCGTCGTCTTTTGGGTGTGAGGACAAAGGACACAGAAAGGCAGGGTAAAGTTTCAAAGTTGGCAAAGGGAGAAATCCTTATGTTAAATATAGGGTCTATGTCAACTGGGGCTCGCGTTGTAGCTGTTAAAAATGTATTTGCGAAACTGCAATTGACGTCCCCAGTGTGTACCAGCAAAGGCGAAAAAATTGCTCTAAGCCGGAGAATTGAGAAGCACTGGCGTCTTATTGGTTGGGGTCAAATCCAAGCTGGTATTACTCTTGATGTTCCACCGTGCCCCATCTAAATGAATCGAAATAGTCAGTTACTGAAAGAACAGGGATAAAGTAGTGAAACAGCATAAGACAGTATCATATGTGGGAAGGCAGGCAGCTGCTGGGAACAATTTTCGTCAGGTGGAGGAGAAAACAAAACATTATTTGGAGTTTTCGAAACTTCATGATCTGCAATATTTTACTTTCCTTGCTTGTGACATTTTTCTTTCTACCTCTCATTTTCTTTGCCTTGTTGGAATGGTGTTGTACCTTGTGTAATTCATTAGTTGGGGTGGATGTTAAAATGAGTTCCATCAGAAATATTGAGCTAGCGGCAGAAAATTTGAACCACCTTATATATTCTATCTCTTTGCATCATTTCAAACTTTGGAAGACAAATCTGTGTTGATATTCGTAAAATACTCTTTTCTTTTTATAAGACTAATTGTTGAGTGGTGTTGCTAAAATAAATATCAATCACTTGGTCATGCATCTGCTAAATTAAATTTATGTCCAGTGCATAGTATTAAAGTTTTATGTGCCAAATATATAATGTGAAGAATTATAACTGCTAGATTTTTGTGCTAATTCATCTCCTTAACTCGAGTAATTAGGTATTAGTGACCTGGTTGATTGAATGGTTTTACAGGTATCCCTGCAATTATCAGCCGGATCTAAAGATGAAGTAAGTATGAGGAGAGGAATAACGGCCTAAACAATGAAAATATCAGGCTGATTCATCTTAGTTGCGTTTATTTCAGCTGAAACAATTGGTAATAATGAATGTCCAGTAAAGATGTCACTAGTTGTTTCACCATTATATCTTGTCAAAACTCTTAACTCTTGATTACAACTGTATGTTACCATTATTGACTTCTCTTTAAATGATTAAATTTCCATACAAGTAGCTAGGGGTGGCAAAATCAAACTCAACCTGCTCAATCTGTCTAAGTTTGAGCGGGGTATTGACCCACTCATTTGTTAGTTCAACCCATGTCATAAGAATCAAGTGGGGTTCATCAAAAATTGTGTATACAACATTTAGCATGTAGCCTTGTCATTCTGGTGTTTGAACCTGCAGTGCCCCTAAAAAAGGGATGTGAGGACATGTGATATAGTACTTATATGTAATACTATAACATAGAATGAAACAAAAGGAAATACATGAAGGGAAAATGACCACCCAAAGCATACTGAATGAAATGCGAGGAGAATCAAGAAAAACCGACTTTAGAATAAAATCAATGCTTAATCATTTACATAAGATATTAGTAGTTTTAGGCGCTTGTCTTAAGAACTCACACCTTCTTGGTTAACAATAGTTCTTCCAAAATATTTATGTGATAAAAGTTAGCTCAAGGGTTCATAATCATGGTTTATATTTCATCATCATGTACATCCTATCGTAAAATCATAACGTTCTTACTTTTGAAGAAAAATCGCAATTCATAGTTTATCATGTTTTCTTGGTAAGAACAATGAAATTCATAGAATAGGAACATAATAAAAATCTAAGTTCATGACATTTGGAATGAAATGCATAACATTTCATAGCTTAAGCACTAACATGTCTCATGAAAGAAAATTATACTAGTATGAAGAAATGCAATGTATAAAAGAACAATAATGTTTTCACACAAATAGAGCAAGTCTTGCATACCTTAATTACTTAAAAGGCTTAACACATAAGCAGCCCCTTGAACTTGCACGCTTTTTTTCGTTTAGACACCTTAGAAAGGCCTTTTTCCTATTAAACACCTAATGTATATTCAAAGTGTGTCTATTAGACACACATTGCTGATCTGGCATAGTGAATGTAGTGCACTCATTAAAAGCGCGTGAGAGGTCTCTAATATCTCTCTTCATCCCTATTTTTTCTCCTCTTAACGCTTCTCCTCCATTGCCCCCAACACTGTCATAATCACCTCTCATTCACCTCTTGAAAATGTCCTCTTCCTTCACTTTCTTTGTTAAATCCAGTAAAAAATAAGTTAAATTAAAATGGTATAATTAAAGCAACATTAATCCCCATGGTTGAATTTTTTAAAAAAGTACATGATTAAGCAAAACCCATGAACAAAGTTGCAAAAAATAACTAAATACGGAGTTGTACTATTTGATTTCTTGGTAATTTCAAATTTTGATCATATTTGTTAATGATAAAATAGAGAGGAAGAAGAAGAGAAGATGTTGTTAGTGGTAGAATTATGGAAACAATCGATAACTTTTGGGGGAAAGAAAGGATTGAGCTATGCAAGTTAGTGAATATTGCTTGGGAGGAAAGGGGAGGAGAGATTATGAAATATTTATATAATAAAAATAAAAAGAACAAATAGAGAGTTCATAAAAGTATTAATGGTGGAATTTAAGTTGGCAGTGGGGAGGGGCTTCAAAGAAGATGATGCAGAGGGGGTTGCTGGGTCTGACAAAAAAAATTGTAAAAGATATTTTTCTTAATTTGCCACATGTCGCATTATGATTCACTCTTTATTCATGTTATAGGCGTTTGAAAGACACGCAACTTGCATTTTCCGGGCAATGCCCATGAAGTGTCTGATAGACACACTTTGAGTATACATTAGGTGTTCAATAGGAAGATGGTCTTATTGAGTTGTCTAAATGGAAAAAGCGTACAAGTTCAAGGGTGTGCTTATGCGTTAAGTCTACTTAAAATTAATTGAATAACGACTGAATATTGATGAGGAACTCCAAAACTTTTTACAACTAGTTCTTTGAGAGGGGTTTTTGTGAAAATTTTATTATCGTAGAGAAGAATTGTGTTAAGAATGCATGCACACCCTTAGAAAAATTTAGAAATACTCTGAATAGTATTATCCTGATGTGAATGAGTAGAGGAGATAAGAAAAATTTAGAAATACTCTGAATAGTATTATCCTGATGTGAGTGAGTAGAGGAGATAAAAGTTGTCCTAAGGTACGGAGAAATGACTAAAATTTCTGATGTGTCAAACCTTTGTCCTTAAGTAAGAGGTGTTACAACTACGGACCATACTAGGACTCAGGATCACAATGGTGCAAATTTAATTTTTTCATCAAACACAAAAAATCTCACTATATGCTCAATTGCTCATCGACGTTTTCAAAACTATTGTTCTTGATTTAACAAATACACAAAAAACACACCTTTCAATTCAATTATCCTCAGATACACAAAAACAACACACTCCAAATCAAATATCCTCTAATACACAAATAAAAAACACCTTCCAATTCAATTATCCTCTTTTAACGGAGAATCTTATTCCGAAATAATTATTAATGAAAAAAGAAAGAAAAGTATAGTCAATATATATAACCTATATAAGTAATTGTACGTATTCATCTTCAACTTGTCATCTTTCTTTCATCCATAACCAAATTATGGAAAGAGTACTATTTACTATAAACCAGAATCGAGCTTATCATCGCCAAATATACGTCGTCGAAAGTCATCAACCATGCGAGGTAATCCTTGGCGAAGGGAGACTGTTGGTTCCCATCCTAAAAGTTGTTTTGCTTTTGAAATGTCTGGCTTCCTTTTGTGGGGATCATCTTCTGTGTTTGGTTTAAATTCTATCTTTGCATTTGGATCTATTGTTTCTTGTACTACCTGCAAATAGTAATATTAGTTCATGATACATCTCTCAACCTATTTAAGAGTACTTATTGGGGAGAATTTAATTAAGCAATTAAATTAAGGGTGTTATAATATCTCTAGTTGTCAAAGATGCCACACACTTCAATATAATATCAGAGTCAGACTTGTCTCAATTCTTGATTTACTCGAGGTTAGACACACATGCTATATATTGCTCACTCTTTAGTTGACAGGTGCACAAGTGTTGAGTCTCACATTAGTAGTAGCGGGATGGGGGACTTGGTCTGGTCTTGACAAGTCTCACCTTTTTGCGCTTATATTTGGGGTTGATGTTAGACCTAATATATATGTTCATTTCTTATTATGACACATATCAAAGCAGACAGAGATCTCGAGTCAAGTCTCACAACAATTTATGATTATAAAAGAAAAATAAAAAGAATATACACATGCTTAGCAATGAAAAAAGAATCATATCCACATATAAAAAATGTATTAAGAATATAATTATGTAATTAAAGTATGCTCTAACAACCTAAGCACAATATGTAAACTAATACTAGTACACAAACATACTTGCATCTATAGTTGCTTCCCTAAACTATTTTCATGTCTATTTTAGAAGGGATCAATTGTTTAATGTTTACTCACTTATTAATGATGAAGCACATATCCAAAAGAACATGAGATGCAAAGATTTAATTAGTACTAATACCTTAGCTAGTTCAAGCATGGTAAATTCACCAGGGTTGCCAAGATTGAAAGGACCTACATGATTTCCTTCCATCAACCTCATCAATCCTTCTACCTGTGTTTATTAATTATAATACCAAAACATTAGAGGCCTCAAAAAATTAAGAAAGATCACAAATATGACAAGGAAATATGTGGAACTTACCAAATCAGAAACATATTGGAAGCTTCGAGTTTGCTTCCCATCTCCATAAACAGTTAATGGTTGCTTTCTTAATGCCTGCAAATATATATAGCACACAAAATTTACAAATCCACATGACATATTAGTCGTGTTCATCGACCTCCTTTGTGATTTATTAATGGAAATTTTCTTTTAGATGGACAGAAAAATTTGTTCATTTGTCTGGAAAAATGATCCGTTTTCGATTTATATATGGAAGGATGAAGTAACATATACCTGCGCAACGAAATTGCTCACAACCCGACCGTCATCTATGCACATACGAGGTCCATATGTGTTAAAAATCCTAGCAATTCTAACCTGAAAAAAACAACAATGTTCTTAAATAATAACTTCTTCATATTTGAATTAAACCTTTAAGAAGTTCTGAATTTGATATGTATGCAAGGAATCTTGAAAACAAAATGTACAATTTTTCTTTTAAAATAGTAGTAAACCTCAACGTTAAGTCCTCTATGATAATCCATGGCCAAAGTCTCAGCTGTTCTCTTTCCTTCATCATAACAACTCCGGACACCTGCTCAATCATCAAACTAAGTCTAGTACCGTTAGATAAGTCATAGGATTGGCAAACGAGCGGATCAGATCGAATAAAATATTTGACTCGTCCATATTGAATACGGATTAAAAATGGGTTAACCAACGTACTATCCATGGTTACAGGAATAGTCAAGTGAGAATACAAGTTAAAAAGTCAAAATAAGCTTAGACTCCAATAAAACAACAACTCATGAACAATAACAAGCTGACAAATGAATATAGTTAATATGGATATCTACTTTATTCATCTAGATATCGTTTTTTACGAGATAATAGTGTCATATTTGATCCATTTTTAAATTATCAGTTATGATCAAACTTGCATTTTATGGGTTACGTTGGATTGGATGGTTACTTGCTTTTTCTAACCATTTTGTCAGCCCAATTGATTAAGATAACAAGCTGAGAAGAGAATGATTGAGAATTTTATAGCTCAGTTGATTGACTATCTGAACTTTCATCTTGTTGATGAGTTAAATTTTTACCTCGTAATCCTGTCTCCCATCTCCCATTTTCCCTACCCAAAAAGTTTTTTTAAAAAATAAATTACTTTAGTTACATGGTCCATTGACATGTGAACAAACTATAATGAGAATCTCGATTACAAGAATAATAAAATATGGATGAAGGAATTGACTAACCAATGGGATTAACATTGCCCCAATAAGTTTCAACTTGAGGATGCTGCAAAGGATCACCATACACTTCACTTGTGCTAGTTATCAGAAATCTAGCTCCTACTCTTTTTGCCAGCCCCAACATGTTCAATGTTCCCATCACATTTGTTTTGTGATCTCTATCTACTTAAATCAAGGAATCTTAACCAAAAAATAAACAATCTCCAAAATGCTCCTTATAATTGTTTTAACAAAAAAGGGTCAAAATTATCCTCAAACTATAAAAAAAAACTCTACATGGTAGTCATGGATGGATGAATTTTGAACTCTATCACTAATTTTATTTTTTTAAAAAGGGCAATTAATAGTCATTCCAAGTTAATTTAAAATATCACATGGAAACAAGTTATTAGTAGTAAAAGGATATAATGGTCTTGATGGGATTATACTTGTAATGAACAGGAGAAGCAGGGCACGCCAAATGATAAATGTGATCAACTTCAAGCAAGATAGGCTCCACCACATCATGTCTAACCAACTCGAACTTAGGGTTATTGAGATGGTGCAACAAGTTCTGTTTTTGACCAGTAAAGAAATTATCAACGACAATCACACTATCTCCTCTCTCTATCAACCTATCCACCAAATGGCTCCCCACAAACCCTGCTCCACCTGTTACCAATACTCTCAAATTCTTCCTCTTCAATCCCAACGGCACCTTTCCACCTGCAAAACACTTAATAAACTTATAAAGGTCCATTTTCTTAACACTATTCAGACTTGATATATATTTGATGAAAAATAAATATAATACGTTATTTACATGCCTGCATTAACGTTGCCATGATCAACCAACTCATACGTTATTCTTCGAGGAATCGAAGTTGATGAGACATGATCAAGGGAAACAGAAGCACTGCTGATAGTACGCGGGGAGAGATTAATGATACTGAGTGCGGAAACTGAAACAATGATTCCGATGAATAAACAGATGAGTCGCTGCTCTCCAAGCACGTAATTAACGATGGAAGAAGATAACGCCTTCTTGCTCATCATCATGTGTTTTTTTACACTAGTTTTCTCAAGATGTTCAGCTCCTCCCATGCTGGACAGTTTTTAATTTTTTGTTTTTTAGTTTTCTCAAGAATATGGATCGATGGGTGTAATAAGAGATCCGAAATGTGGGTTGTAAAAAGGAATGAGTCATGGAATAGCTTTGAATTGTTCTAAAGTTGTTACTTTGTGTCAGAAAGACTCAACTAATTAATTAATGGCTTTCTTATAATTAATCTTTCTTTCTACCTATTTAAGCTAACCTTAGCTTTCTTTACTATAGTCTATGTAGATTAAAAGATTCTTTTTAAAATGTTTAGATCCCTATACCTTCTATACTAATCTATATATGTAGATTTTTAAAATGTTTAGATCCCTAATGTATTATGACCAAGTCTAACAATGGTTTTGTTATAAAGTGTTGTTTCTACTCTATTTTGTACTTCTTCATTTCTGAATGTTTTGAAATTAATTGTGGAGTTTTGATGTTATTGAGTGCAATGGCATGTTATGTAGATTTGGAGCATGACTGAAATTGACTGTAATTCTTGTTTTGAAGCTAACTTTGAGTTTATTGAATTTTGTTAGCATCCTTAGCATGATATATATTATCCATCGAGTAACTCCGTTTAAAATATGGATTAATCAATTATTTTATCCATTTTTGCTTAACTTGTTTTCACTAGCTTATATTCAACTTAACCTGTTTGGTTGGCACTCCCATTCCTATATACAACATAGGTACCCAAAACTTTAATTTATGCATCTCTTTTTATACTGCTAAGAAGGGCACTTTCGATGAATCATTATCTGTAAATAAAACACACAAAAATCAAAATGAATTGGGAATGATGTCTGATCTTAGCCAAGAAAGCTACAACTATAGCCACAAAGTTCATTAGCCCTTCAGAAAAGGGACTCGTGCTGGCGTAGCAGCATGCCCACATTAATCACATATCCTAGGGAGGAAACCCAGTACTAAAAATTTGATATAGTAAAGCTTTTCCATACAAAGCTGTGCCTAATCAGTTTGGTTTTTATTCATTGAATTAGTGATTCATTCCTTGTGAGAATGGGCTTGCGGTTGGAGGAACTTGGCAACACGTTCTGCTTTAGCTCCTGAGCTATGGTCATAGTACTCGACAACTGCAGCCCCTGCTAATGCAGCAAGTGTGAGCGCCTGTGCGTGCAGCCTGATTACCAACAAAAACAACAGTTACTCCTGACGAAAGCTCAAAAAATAATAATAAGGCAGTTCTAGTTAAGACGGAGCATGTAACTGTCCCTTCTTCAAGACCACAGGCATCACATTGTAGAGTGCACCAGACTCTACTCTTATAACAGGATAACAAGGCAAGATGTACAAATTGCAAGAATTTTAAAAACAGAGCATTCAAGACCTGTCAAAGTAGGATCTTTTCTCAATACTAGGAACACATGCACATCCTAATATCCTACTAGCTTTCTCGTATTCAACATTATAACCATAAATCTCATTTAACGAGTATCGATACATTCATCTTACCCACCACAAAACTAGACAATCACAATTCACAACAAGCTAAAAGTAGAACAGCAAGGGCATTCGAACATAACACAAGGAGATCATCCATATCAACATAATACAATGAAATATGGAACAGTCAGGGCATTCAAACTTTAACACAAGGTCATCCATATCAACATAATACAATAAACAGGCACGGCACGTACATGAAGTATACAGGTAAGTATTTTCATGGAACCTTGTAATAAGAGCTTGTCCAATAAGAAGAATGTCTAAGCATGGGCAAAAACCCGAGAACTATATTAGCAACTACCCCTTCTCCCCGTCGTGATCTTGTCAAAGTGAATGGGACATATTGGTGTCAGCTTCAAAAATGTGAAGAGTAGCAACCAAAAAAATGAATTTTCTGAAACAGAAATGTTTCCCCAATCGAAAACCAAGAAAAGACAGTTTTTTTGTAAAAATTGATTTTTTTTCTTTCTTGCTGTTTGATGAAAAGCAGTTCTGAAATACAACACCAGTGCTACCCCTCGGCTAGTTTTGCAGATTAAGACACATTGATTTTCACGAGATTGTGGAAAAGGTTAAGACAACCTCCTATGAGAATCTATGATAGTGTCTCCCAATAAGGTTGGTTTCATAAATTCTGGGCATCTTTAACCAAATGAACCGGCGCCTTTGAAATCCAAATACTCAGCATGATTTTTGTACAACATTTGAGTTGAAATAAAAAGAGTAAATACCCTTTCTGAACCGAATTTGGAGGATGACGATGAAAGGAAAAGGGGATCAAAAGTCCTGTCAAGTCCCCCACCCCCAAACTCACTTCCCCTTTTCCAATAAACAAACCCTGAACTCTAAAGTTGAAAAACTGCTTATGATTATGAAGATCTGAAAAACTTCCAAGCCTATGTGTGTGTGAGCATTCTAGAAGTATCCATACCCGAATTCCAGCTCCCGTATCCAGTAGCCCTAAATCTTAAAAATTAGATTTTGCAAAATCCGAAACCAAGTCCGAGCAACTTTGGTTTAACCCACAATCCAAACTCAAACACAGAGCAAAAGACACAGCAAGCAAATCCAACAATTAATATCACTAGGTCCTGCCAAAGAACCCTAGCTCAAAATTGAATAGATTACAAGTAGAACCAATCTATGAATCGGGAAACACATAAACCCGATCGTAAAAATAAAAAATAAAAACTTATGTTTATAGTCGTCAATCCCTTCCGCAATCAAACAGAAATTGGGGATTAAAGAGAAGAAATTACCTTGCATGAATGATCTTAACACTGGTTTTCATGTGGGGTTGAGACCAATTGTAAGCAATTGAACCCGCTATTCCACTAAGCCACAAACACCCTTCAACCAAAAACAAAAACCCAACATCAAAAACCAAAGAACGAGAATATCTGTTGATTCACATAGATAAACCATATCAACAATCAAGATTCAAAACCACAAATGATTTACCAACTGTTCGAAGTTTGTGTTCGACAACCCATTTCCTGACAGATTCCATAGTGTTATTCTCTGCCATTTTGAAAGGTTTTTTGTGTTTATGGGCAGAGAAAAATCTATGGAGGTTTTTATATATGATGATGGTTTTCTCTGTTTTATATATTTGCAGTTGCCAAAAGAGAGTAGAATAGAAGCACGTTACGTTTGTGGAGGTTTTGGACAACACGCGTTTTTAGTCAATATACCGCCTTCAATATGCCCCGGCCGCCAACCGGATTCCCCAAATACTTTCCAATGGGCCTTCTTACTGTCACGCCATATTGGTACGATAAATATTGAATTATTATATTGAAATTGAAATTATTAACATTATGATTTTAATATGATAGAGTATTTGGTAGATATTAATATGCATGTAAATGGATTTGAATATGATATTCATAATAATATCAAATACCATGTATTATGAATATCGAAATGTATAGTTATGCGTATAATTTATGTATATTACTAGTAAATGGGCACGCACTTCGCGCGGTTAGAATATTCTTCGAGTCAATTCCCTAAATGGTCACCCAAGTTTGAAGAATTGCTTTGAAATATCATTTATGTTTCACTTAGGACCAAAATATCACCCAACTATCACTATTTTCCTCCAAATATACTTCAAACCTTAACTTTACTCTCTCCTAGTTGGCATGTCATGATATTAAAGTCTTTTATAAAATAATAGACTTATTCAATTCATCAAACTCATTTAACTAAAATAATAATCTTATTATTTTTTTTAAAATAAAATTATATATATATATATATATAAAAGAAGGAATAAGTATTCACCACAAGTCAACATGTGTTCCAATAAGAAGAGGGAATAACCAATATATTTATAAAAAGAAATGACATATAAAATAAAATGGAGAGAGTATTGGTTTTTCAAAATGGAAAAGGACAAAACACATATAAAATTAAAAGACATATAAAAAAAAATTTGTTTAACTCTCACACATAAAAAGTAACATATGTTATTAAAAACTTTAATAAAAAGTACTATAATTTACAATAAATAATAACTTAAAATATCTACAAGACAACAAAAAAAAGACTAATTTTTGTACTGCTTCTGTCACATAAATTAGGATTGGGATGATTTTAAAATTTTAATTTTGGTTATACATTATAAAATAGCCAAAAATTGAATGATATAATTTTTTTAAAAATAACCGAATGAATCGTTCTATCGATAACTCTAATGTTACTTCTACTCTGTTTATTTTTACTTAAATTTAGAAAGATATGCTTCATTTCTACCCTCAATCTTATCGCTACATTTATTCGCTATTTAAAATTGAAATTAAAAAGACAAATGACAAATAAATTTCTATATTAGCTCACTTATGAGCAAAATATATTATAACAATCTTTACTAATTTTATAACAATACATAAACTATACTCCCTCCGTCCCATATTAGATGGGCACTTCCAACTTTACACGGTGATTAAGAAATCATTAATAAATTGGAAGACTTCACCATTTTGCCCTTTGTTTATATCAATGCACATTGAAATGAGTTACAAAAAATACACATACAATATAGGAATGGTCATATTAATTGTAGGGGTAAAATGGAAAAGAATTAATTAATTCTATCCTAATTTAATAAGTGCTCAAATAATATGAAAAAAATATTTTTAGTAAGATTCTCATCTAATATGGGACGGAGAGTATTAGTTTTTGAAAATGGAAAAGGAAAAAACACATATAAAATTAAAAGACATAAAAAAAGTTGGTTTAACTCTCAAACATAAAAAGTAACATATGTTATTAAAAACTTTAATAAAAAGTACTATAATTTACAATAAATAATAACTTCAAATATCTACAAGACAACAAAAAAAAGACTAATTTTTGTACTGCTTCTGTCACATAAATTAGGATTGGGATGATTTTAAAATTTTAATTTTGGTTATACATTATAAAATAGCCGAAAAATTGAATGATATAATTTTTAAAAAATAACTGAATGAATCGTCCTATCGATAACCCTAATGTTACTTCTACTCTGTTTATTTTTACTTAA